AGCTCTGCACTGTGGACTGTTGGGAGGTGAAGGAAGAGGAGGAAGAGGGAGGGGGAGGATGAGGAGATGAACGCATACATGCACCCTGGCCTTTACACCCTGGGGGCTTGGACCCTGGCAAATCTGCATCATGTGTGTTCTTTGATCCTGCCTTCAGGACATGTGAACATGTGCATCTCCATTCACTGTGTCTGCCACTAATCTGTGCTTCATCTAGATTCTGGAGTTGCTTTAAACCAACAAAATAATTAACAAAGTCACTTTACGTTCATGGGAACGGTCATTTGAATGTACAGTATGATATGTGCTATTTCTGATAATGTTCTGATGAGTAGACAGTTGTAGAGTAGACATGATGTTTGGATCATGAATTCCAGGTACACGATTACTGTACATCACATTTTACTTTGTAATGTAGGAAGCACGTGAGGATGAATGTTACAAATGCTTTTCTTAACATCAACCATATGTCTGTTTTATCATTTATCTGCCAGACACACACGGGGGAGAAGGAGAAGATCTGCCCATACTGTGGACAAAAGTTTGCCAGCAACGGCACGCTAAGGGTCCACATCCGCAGCCATACAGGTCAGTGGGCCTCCGCAGTTCACTGCCTTGTTAAATCAGCCGTCCATCAGCTGCTATTAACATCATCTACTAATGTTAAAGATGTGGAGTACATTGTCCACATGCTGACAGACTATTAATTCACACTCGTAACAATCCTACTTGTAATGGCCATTTCTGCAGTAATCTGTTTTGTTAATGCAGATTGAAATGGGTTTATAGTGGAGAAACATAATGAAGGCAGATGTCGGCATGGTTTGAATCCAGTTGCCCCTTGGAGGGCAGTGTCACTGCAAATCAGTACAAAGTTGTTCTGAGTGATCACATTGATCCTATGATGAAACAGTTCTATTCTGATGGGAGTGGTCTCCTCCAGGATGACAGCGCCCCCATCCACAGGGCACAGAGGGGTCACTGAGTGGTTTGATGATGAGTATGAAGGTAATATGAATCACATGCTGTGGCCTTTACAGTCACTAGATCTCAACCCAGTTAAACACCTATGGGAGATGGTAGAGCAACATGTTACTGTCATGGGCCTTTGCTTCCTGATATTCAGTTGTTTTTTTTTTTCACGGATTCCCTATCTCTCCTGTCACGTCATGTGCACCAGCGTTTTCGTCATTATCACCTCCACCTCTTTTCGTTAAATCCTCGCTGGTTTGTCACCCATGCTTCCGTGCTGTCGCTGTACACCGACAATGCTCTCCGTGTTCCTCCAACTCGCTACCTGACTCTTCCGCCTCATCTTCCTGGTTTCTGTGCGTGCACTCATTTTGTCCCTGGCTGCAGATCTCAGCGCTCCCCGGTGAGCAGTGGCTTCCTTGGCGCTGTGTAGCTCGCTCTCCACGCCTGGTGAGTCTAGCTCTCCTCTCTCCAGTTTCGCACTCTCCTCATGGGTCCAGCTCTCCATTCCCCATCTCTGTACTCTCCAGCTCTGCTCTCTTCGGTCCACCACTCTCGTTGTGGGTTTGACTTCACCATTCCTTTCCAGCCCCCCTGCACTAGTATCCTGTTCTTCTGAGTGTCAAATAAACTTTTTGCTCCTCTCCCAGTGTGGGTCTGTACACTGGGTCCACCAGTACCAGCCCTTGACAGTTACAGCGTCTCCACCATCATCATCAAATTACCACATGAGGGAATATCTTTTGGATGAATGGGGTTCATCCCTCCAGTAGAGTTCAGACACTTGGAGAGTCAACGTTAAAGTGCACTGAAGCCGGTCTGGTGGCACGTGGTCGTTCAACACCTTACGGAGACGCTTTACGTTGATTATGTGAATGTAGTTATGCTTGCCCATTTAGTTTGCTCTTGTTAAAGGAATAATTCAGTATTTTGTAAAATACGCTTATTTCCTAGCAAAAGCTCTTTGCACAAAACTAAATACTTTTAAATTTTGAACTATTCCTTTAAAAAGATTGTTTCAGCTTGAAGCTGCATCAGAAAAGAACTTGGCTATCTGTTGTCCACACTATATCAAAGACCCCAAATACCAGTAACTAGCACTTGAATTCTTGGTGCACCTTTCTTACTACCATTATGCAATTCATATGTGATTTAAATGTTAGAAACATGTTGTAGGACTGCTTGCAGCAAGTCTTTGGACACTGCCACAAAAATAGAGCCTTGGATCTTCATTAAACTGCCTTAATCTTGAAAGCTACACATTCCTGTGCGTCTCCTTACCAACAGACTGGTGCAGAGACCTGGCATGGCCACACACGCACTTCTTGGCCTCTGAACTCTTTCACTCACTCTTTCTTTCTCTCTGTCTCTCTGCCTGTTCCTGGCTGTCTCCCTTTTTGCTTCTCTCTCTCATTTAAACTTCATCTCTCTTTCCTTTCTTCTTCTTGCTCATGTTTCCTATTTGTATTCATTTTGGGACTGAACACATCACTGTAATCTGTTTGTTTTCTAGTTCCAGGTAGATTCATGTCCTTATCATCGGCCTGCAAAGACTGCCCTAATTATTGTCAGTTACCTAATGCAGTCAGTGTTTAAATCACACTTTCGTCAGCTTCATTCACACTTCAACATTTTTGTGCTGTTGGATTCTTCAAATTAACAATCATTTCAGCTAAAGTCATTTTTATAGCCTCTCAAGCCTTCCCTTCAGGTGTTGTCAAAATGTATATGTAAATTTGAGTGGTGGCAGGATGACGGTCCATTGACAAGCCTACCATAATTTGCCGACGGTGTTCTTTGTACATGTGCGTATGTGAGCTGTGCACGTGTTTGTTCGCACATGCGTAAGTATGAAGGACAAACCAGCAGAAAGAGAGAGTGTATACCAGTAAGTGCCACAGCTCAGTCTGATTGTATTTATATAGAATAAACAAAGGAGAGGAATGCTGGGGGAGGGGTGGGAGCCGAGGGGACACCTCAAAAAAAGAAAGGAGTAAAGAGAGAAAAGACCACTCCAAGAAAGCATCTAGCCGCATGACCTTTGACCCTGATGGGCTGTAAATCTGTCCCCTCATTCTATAGACTGGATTTGTGTGTATGTGTGTGTGTGTGTGTGTGTGAGGGGAAAAAAATAAGCTTTAGTGAACAGTGTGAGTCTAACTCTAACAAGACTCATCTTGTTCTCAAACAGTGAAGACATATTTTGTGGACACACACACAACCCAAATAGCTCGTCTGTGGATATGGAAATTATGTGATGAATACAAAATTATAAAATGACTCTGTTATTGTAAATAAAACTTTAAAGACAAACAGTTTTTCTGTCAGTGGTTGCTTAAAGAATGCCGCCAGCGGAGGTAAAGACCTTTAAATCGACAGCTTCTCCAGGTGACAGACAGAAAAGCAGGAATAAGTCAGCATTGATTATTTACTTATTAAACACATAGAACTGTAAAGACCCCTTGGAGATAACGTTACTATCAAATATTGTAGAACATAATGAGAGGAATGGGTCAAGTGTAAAACAGATTAAAGCGATATTAGAAAATATTAACCTTGAAAATATTAAGTAGCTGGCAACACACATACTGTAATGTGAGCTGCCAAAGATGTGAATGAGGATGCTGAAGACATTATGGGACGCAGTAATTGTGATGGATGTTTCTGTAATTTTCTGAATTACTCTTTTTTGGCTCAGAGATGAAGCAAACGTGTCCTTCTCTCCCACATCACAGCTCAGTGAGAGCAGATTTTCCCACCATGTGTGCCATGATGCGGTAAATAACTGTAGTGCAGTTATGAAAATGATTTGTGCCAGGGGAAATGTTGACACAACCCAGTGCCTCGCTGTCATACTGACATCACAGGATATGCCCTGTTTGGACACAATGATCAGTGTAAGCTCATGGGCTATGTTACTACAAACTGGAGCACTGTGACCCTTTAAAAGGCTGATGTAGTGTTTATGCATTTAAGCATAAGCATATATCAAATATAAACTTTTCTCACATCCAGTCAGGCCAGCAGGTCTCCATGTCTGCACATGTTCAGTTGTCAAAATACTACTTTTTTGCTTTGCTGAGTGCCTCACATTTTTCCACTCTATGCTCCTCTAGTGTTTTTTGCAGGAGTTCAGCTTAGGGCAGAGAAATGCCCGACGTCATTTTGTTCCATTGTCCAATCAGATGAACTGAGAGGCAAACGTTCTGTGGTAGTGACCTGAAGTAGACAAACGCTCAGCAGGACAGATGGACTGTGTAGCTGGTGGTCATTATGGTGATATGAGGCTTGACAATTGACAGCAAATTGTAACTTTGTCCCCGACACATCCTAAAATAGCTTTGAAGTGATCATCATCTATGATCTCTCCTATTTCTCAGGGCGTCCTGTACCAACACAGATTTCTGTTTCTGTGTCCAATGTATTTGAGAACAGCCTTTCACCTTCAATCAGAGCCAGAGCAACTGCCCTCCACCTGTCCATGTTTTATGCTTAGATAATAAGTAAGATAAGACAATAGTTATATGTTTTATGTTTAGATAAATGATGACTGTTTATACAAATGTTTAGAGTACTGTAGTAGTGAGTCCTAAAACCTAAAAAAAAGTTGGTTGCTGACAGGTAGCTAAATGAGACCACAGAGGCTGTATGGGATATTATCCATCATCAACACGGAGACTCATCTATTCACCAGCCCGCTTTTAAGCCTTGTTACTGTATGTTTAAACTCACACCCTTGCAAACTGTTCGAATTAACTGACAGCCGTGATCACTAGCTAGATCAAGTCATGCTAAGAGGAAAGGATTTTGTAGAAGAGGTAAAATCAAATTACAAGTTTTAAGCTGGTGGCACAGCGGCACGGTGGTTATGCTGTTGCCTCACAGCAAGGTGGTTCTGGGTTTGAGCCCTGGCCGACCCGGGGCCTTTCTATGCGGAGTCTGCATGTTCTCCCTCTGCCTGCGTGAGTTACCTGCAGATACTCCATCTTCCTCCCACAGTCTAAAGACATGCAGCTTAGGTTGATTGGTGAATCTAAATTGCCCGTAGGAGTGAGTGTGAGTGTGTGTGGTTGTTTATCTATGTGTCATCCCTGTGATAGACTGGCAACCTGTCCAGGGTGGACCCCGCCTCTCGCCCAGTGTCAGCTGGGATAGGCCTCGGCCCCCAATGACCCTATTCAGGAATAAGTGGTCTAGGTAATGGATGGAAGGTGGAAGCTGTGGTGGTGACGTTGTAGTGATGGGACCATGGAGCAGTTTGCTTATAGCCTGAAAATAGCATTTTACTTCTGGTGATCGTATTTGGGCTTCAGAAATCATAAAAGTGGTCCTCACTTCAGAATCAGAATCTCCTTTATTGGCCAGGTGTGTCAAACACACAAGGAATTTGACTCTGGTACATCGGCTCTCAGTGTGCATGTACATATCCCCATGTAATGGGCAAGTAAACAGTGAACAGTGAACCAGCATAAGGCTGTGTAATATAACAAAATAAGCAGTATTAACAAGCAACAAACAGTGCAAACACGCAGTATAAACAGGCAGTAAAGAATGCAGACAGACAAAGGAATGCTCATTCAAATGAGATAAATAGGACTAAAAATAGAGTACTTAGA